ACAACAGCACCAGCTCCCTCATACCACAGATAAAATCATTTCGACCTAATGTCATCTGATTCTCACCGCTTTTTTATTTCCCTCTGTGCGAAACCCGCAACATACAAACATACACTGTCAGCATTTTTACACGGCCCTCAGCTTGGGGGCAGGATGACGCAGGAAGCTACTTTCAATACGGGCGGCAGGATACAGGGAATAGGCTTATAGTTGGTGGGTACATTGAGAAAATAAATTGTAAAAAGCATTAACAGCAAAACCTAACACCTAATCCTGCCCTCAGCATAAGTCTCAAGAAAAAAAAAACATCCCTTGCATTTATACGTTTTTCCTGAACTGCACACTCATTTTCTATCAAAGACGTGCAAAATTATTCCCCCTTCATGATGTCATTAGCGCCCCCGTCAGGCACACGAGCTGCACTGCAGTACTGAGAACGGGTCTTTGCCCTGGACCGCACCACGGCGCACCGGAGGGGCGCTTCACACACCATGCAAATGCCACAAGGCCTGCTAAATAAATTAAGACGGAACGAGACTGCGCCGCCTCCATCTGCGCGGTGCTATAAATAACCACGCAGAAAACCTCACCCTTCACAGCCATGTCATCCTCAGTTCAGGAAGAGCGCCTCGGCTCTGCCTCCTCTCCTTTGCGGCAGGCTATGACACCGTTTTGCCTGTGAATCATTGTTCAAGCTAAAATCGTAATTGAGGGCACAGGTGTGCATTATTAAAGCTTAACATGGGGCAGGGCGCCCCATTTTGGCTGACTTTATACACAACACAACCATTTCAGTCGTTAGTCGCTTTTAAACCAATGACTTCGTGACAAGCATAAGTATCACTAATCAACCTGTTACTGCTGTGTTTCAGACCCCAGATGGTTTGTGTTAGTACATCTTTTAGTAACCCATTTTAAAAATAAACCTTGATGCTCGATCAACGTGGGAATCATGCAAGAATGATTTTCTTCCCAAAAGCTCACCATATTGAACCAAATCCTTCTGAAATTACACTATCAAATCACGTCACTCCAGTTTGAAAGCGTTCAACGATCAGCATTTCTTGATGTGAACATTTACACGTGTATATACCACCATATGCATATGTGAAGGGCACCTACTGATAAGGTAATATCAAAGTACACTGCTGTCAAACCGTCATTAGTCAGACTTGGGCGAAATGTCACCGCGGTGTCCCTATCCGTGACATCAGCCACTGATGTCGACACGTGTGTCCTAAAATCCCGCATAATCGTCCACGTTATATTAACCAACTTCCTCCGGAAAAAAAACAAATTACTCAAAATATAGGTCGATCGAAGTGATTTATGGTACAACCTATGCTGAAAATATAACGTTTTAAAAAAATAAAAGGGATGAGTCAATACGCCAAAAGTAGCCCGCCTGATTACGTCAGGCACACGTATTTGATTATAATTAATTTCTAGAATCTTAAAATAAAATCCCATTTTGGTATATCATAAAGCTAAGACTAATGTAAAAGTACGCAGCATTTAAGCCTAATAACCGATATCTTTGTTAGAATTTAACGGGTATTAAATATATCTTATACGGAGTATCTTTATATGCACCTTATTATATAGTACGTAAATAACTGCTTAAAGGTTACAGCTAAGTATTTAGCCTACTAGTCAAAATAGGAAAGTGACGATTGAAACTATCAAAATGTCATCCACTGACACTATGTAGGCTACAACACAATACCAAAAATGTTTTAAAACACATGCGACGTAAAACGTGTTTATTAAACGGCACTACGCAGAAATCCAATACCGTGCACTACAACTTACTTAAATGATTTATTTTTACTGCGGACCAAAACATTTCAGAACAAAAAAACGCAGCTACAAATCCACGGGCTCCACACGCTGTTCCAGCGTGATTTACAAGTCAAAATACCGAGCCGCATTATTTTATCCGCCCTCGGATGTAACAGAAACCGTGATTAATGTCAGGTTATCAAAGCAACGGAACGAGGCCGCCCTGTTTCCTCACATCTGTGCAAATATTTAATTACAAGGTTAAAGCATTAACCGGCAGCACATTTATGCGCGCATTCTTGTCATTGCACAACTCGCAAGCAAACAGACAAGTCGCGCTCGGGATAGGAATAAAACGCAGCCCCCGCATACTCACGTTTTCTGGGCACTAACGACGAGCCGTATCGGGGCTGCTTCGGCGGAACAGTTCGGGCCGGCGAGGGGCGGTCTGTGTCGTGTGCCGTGCGCCGTCAGCCGGGCTCACCGCGGGAGTGATGCGCTCTTCACCGCAGCCGCGATGACTATGGTTCAGCCAGGGACCGGCTCTGCCCGCCGGGATTCTGGTTTTTCAAAATGCCACCCGCTGTAAATCCTTTACGCACGGCACTGTAACGAATTGCATCTGCCCTTTGTTTCCTGGATTTTATTAGCCTACACTGCCGACAAAATGTATTCACATCTACATCAAATTGCATTAGCTCTTGACTGCAGAACATATGATATATCCCAAAACTTTAACTCCATAGTTTTTCCCACATATTTTGTCAACCCTACTATATTTTAATGTTAGTTTTTAAATTTTATCACATAAACTTGTGAAAAGTTATCTGATGTTCAGAGGATCTTATACTGAGGTCTTTTGCAATGGAGAGTATGAGTTAAATAATTTAAAATGTCCAGGCTGATGTATGTCTCCGAAAGTATGCAATTGAGAAGCTAAAATAATGCTTTTTAAGTATGGTAAAGTGTAATAAGCAAATATTAACTGCATTCGTATCGCGCGTTGGTGTTAAAGTAGGCCTAACACTTCCTGAAACCTAAGCACACACATAAGGTAAGTAACCTTCTTCAATGGAGTATCCATTAAATAAATGTGCTGTTTCCGGCTCCTCGTTGATTTATATAGTGCTTTTTGTGCATGGGTAAAAAGACTGCGTTTAAATTAATAAGAGGACCAAATATTTACGGGATATAACTTTTTGGAAAGGAGTGAATGGTCTCTCCCACTATTGTGTTATTTGTTGAATGAGTCCCCTCCAGACGAGGCCTTACGCGTTTGTGGCGCATTTTCCCACATGAATTGTGAACATTTAGCGCCATAGTAACTTAACTCATTCCAATTCTGTTCACCTCTTATTGAGCCATCGGATTCTCAGCATGGCACTGGTTTCCACGGGAACTCGCTTCAGTCATTTATTTCCAAAAGGAGGCTGTTGCCACAGCAACTATACATTATGCATCAGCGAATGAAAGGCCTTTCAGACAAAAAGTTATTTAAATTTCCTTTTTAGGAGCAAAAAAAAAATATATATATAAAAGACTCCAAAACACTGATAAGGAAGTTATAATGACACTTAGAACACAGTCATGAAAATTATTCAGATGCCAGTGATGAACAAAATGCCACAAGTGCACCAACGGGAGCGCAAACACATCGGGTTTCCCACGATTCCTCACACTGAACAATAACACACGGTCCGAATTCTGGCTTAATCCATATGCAGTGGTATTAGCTCATCTTTAGGTGCAGGTGACCGTACAAGTGATGCATGCTGCCCCCTGTGGCCAGAAAAGGCCAAAGCGCATTTCCCTGTTGACCACACCCACCTTCTGTCAGACCCCGTTCAGCATTGCTGCATCTAGTCAGGACCGTGACTCACTGGTCGTTCTTTCACTGCGCCTTCCTCGCCAGGCTCATCGGGTGTGACGTCCTTGTGTTAGGGTGCCGCTCAGTAATGTAACACACCGACACAACATCGGGGACACCGAACAGTGGATTGTTTCCATGTGAAATTTGAGGAGGCAGGAAATGTCAGCAATTATCTTTCAGACATACAGTCTGATCGGCCTCCGGGGCTCTGTCAGAGAAATCAGTTTTGGCATTCCAGTGTGAATGAAACTCTCTCTAAAGTCTTAGAAGGCACAGGTATTTTGTTATGTTTTGCACAGCTGCAAATAATACGGATCTTCAGAGACACACCAACTGCACTAAACCACAACAGAACCAATATTCTGTATCTAAAGGTTTCAACATCAAATCAACCCCCGACCCCATACCTCCCCAAACACCCACGGTATTCCCACAATATTGGTAGGGACATATCTGTACCATCTATACCAAACTTGACACTCTTGCCTATATCCCCAGAGAGAGATGAAGAGTAAATGAAGATCAAAGCTGATTGGAATTTAACCGCGATTTCTCCTTTTTTTTTTTTTTTTTTACATATTTCACAGTATACTTTCTTGTAAAGATCTGTAAAACGTAGCAGGACTGAAATCACAATCTAATAATTTTACAAAGAGCATCAAATCCCGACTGAGTGAAATCGGGCTTTAGCGTGTCTTGGGGCGAGACTTTCCAGTAAAATGAGAGTAAATCCCACATGACAGGCAGGTAGCTCCTATTCAGCGAGGAGCTGGGAGTCACACCAGCAGCCTGGATTTGAAATCTGAAGGTTGATCCGAAGCCTTTAATCTCTAGCGCACTGTGAATTTTTTGCCAGGAATAATCCACTTTGGGGCTCCTGCATGGCGGTGGGATCGTAAACCCCACGCGCCCCTTGGGGTATCACAGTGGGACTGGGTCCAATAGGATGAAAGGGCTGCTAATTTGCAGATCATTTGCATTTCTGTTGAGTTGCTTGGGGAAAAGTAAGACAGGGTTACCTCGTCAATTCCAGACATGAAGATTATTCTCTTTGATGCTTTTGAAAATATCTACTCAATTTTGTTATTAAAGAGCTTTTTCATTGACCTGGGGTAAACACATTTAGTGATCAGTGCTATCTTGTTAATAATCAGCACAAATGTTCATAAAATATTATATTTTCAGTTGTAGTGGAGGTAGAATATCGAAATACTGAATGTGTACATAATATTTTGTGGGTATGTTTTGTACACATAGTATATGTTGCCAACAGATGCAGTGATCCAGTTTCTTAGGTAATTTTTACCTAAGTGTTGACAGTGACATTCTGTGGGTCACTCCGACTTACCCCATGGTTGCATTAACTTGTCACCGAGCATTTCAGCATGGGATCCATTGAAACGCCACCCTCTGAAAAGATCTGGAAAACAAATATCTGTGGCAGTGTAGGAAATCTCAGGATGTGAAAGACAGCGACGAGAACAATATTTGATTACCAGCCTTAGGAATTTTCCAGTGTGTAAAAGGACCCCAACCCCCATTCAATGCAAATCACACCCCTGTAGTACTTTATTCATCAATTTGGGGAAAGTGGGTAGTTCTCACAAGCTCCATCTTGCTCTCCATTAGAGACACAGACACGTGTATATACAGTGAGAGCACACTGGGGTCCAAGTACAGGGTTAGTCAGAACCAGTGGCCCTGGGGCAGGTGGGGTAAAGGACCTAATGGTGATGTTTCTCTGCCAGTGAGAGGGTTCGAATCCACAACAAATATGGGCATAAATCCCTAATTCATTGCACTACGAACCACTTCATTATTGAAAATAATATGTGTTCCTGGGCCTTTTATTGGTTGTTCTGTGGTTGTCCTTGTGCTGTTCCTGGGCCATTCATTGGTTGTTCTGTGGCTGTTCCTGGGTCATTCATTGGTTGTTCTGTGGCCGTTCCTGGATCATTTATTAATTGCTCTGTGGTTGTTCCTGGGCCATTTATTGTTTGTTCTGTGGCTGTTCCTCGGCCATTTATTAGTTGTTCTGTGGCTGTTCCTGGGTCATTCATTGGTTGTTCTGTAGCTGTTTCTGGATCATTTATTAGTTGTTCTGTGGTTGTTCCTGGGCCATTCATTGTTTGTTCTGTGGTTGTTCCTGGATCATTTATTAGTTATTCTGTGGCTGTTCCTGGATCATTCATTGGTTTTTCTGTGGCTTTTCCTGGGCTGCTCTTTCGTTGTTCTGTGGCTATTTCTGGGCTGCTCTTTGGTTGTTCTTTTGCTGTTCTTTAGCTTTCTCTGGGCTGGTGTTAAGCCTCCCTATAAACTACACTCACATAGCTCTGTTATAACAGTAAGGTTTTGCTCAAGGACTCATCCGACAGACACAGCAGCTGTTTGTAATGCAACTGTTCTCTGAACCTTGAGTTTAGACGCACAATCCAAACATCTACAAACTTTCAAGAAAACACAACCAAAAAAAAATTCCAACTGTTTATTCTAGTCAAGGGGTCTCAAACTCCAGTCCTGGGGGGCTGGAGCCCTGTGTAGCTTAGTTCTTTCCCTTTTCCACCACATGATTCAGCTCAAGAACTGTGTGGTAATTAGCACAAGGAGATGCAAGGAGTTGAATCAGGTGTGTTAAAAGATGGGAAACCCAAAAATGTGCAGGGCTCCGGCCCCCCAGGACTGGAGTTTGACACCCCTGTTCTAATCAGAGTCATGAAGGATCTTGGAGACTATCCCAAGCAGTCTAGGGTACAAGGCTAGAGTACACCCTGGATGGGATGTCACCACTGCAGTTATCATAACTGCAAGCAGAATAACTGAAGGAAACCCGTAACAAAATAATCCATTATTCTGAAACACATGTACATTCACAGTTATTGTTTTATTGAAGTCCCGTCTTTGGCTCTTTTAAAAACCTAAATATAAGAACCACAAATATCTAGCAGTGTAACAGACTCCTGTTTTACTGTTGCATTTGCATACTGTGGATAGAGTGCCTATTAGCTCTGTTTTAAATGTCATTGTCTGGCATTGGTGTAACACCAGAAAATCGAGGTCACTGATCTTGGGGCACGGGAAGCCCCCAGTGTTCAAAGAATGCTAAATCACTCGAGGGGGAGGGGCAAGGGGCTCTGAGTTTTTGTTGCTGATGTATTCGTCTCCTGGTGCAACACTGAGCTTAGTAAAACTCAGGAATAATAAAGTTGGTCCGTCCTGAATGAGGCACACATTTACGCGGTCCTGGCGGTGTAGGTGCAAAGCTTTCTATTAGCCTCAGACGTGCAATTAAATTATTTAAAAAGCCTGTATTCTCTGTGCGGATGCGGTCAGCAATCAAGCTAAGAGCCGTGGATAAAAACCTAGTTTAATTTTAACGAGATGCCCCGATTCTCTGCCTAACAGCATCCCTCCACAGAATGGCCTTTTCATTACTGGAGGTTACTGATGTTCTCACAGGCAAAACCACTAACACCTACATCCGACTTGCATGTCAGCTAAGTGTAAAATTATACACTGAGTTGTATGTACAGTATATGTTCCCTGCCTTGTGCCTGATAGGCTCCAGACTCCAACCCCAAGAGGATAAGTGGGTAACAGAAGATGGATGGGAGTTGTATGATACATTGATCAAATGATTTAAATTATATTTAATTTCATGCGCAATATTTACGGCGAATTGTCAGTTTAGTGCACACGATCAATCAAAAGGATTTTACTTAATTACATTCACGTTGCTTATACAGTCTCATGCATTTAGTAGTTCAGTCGTAGCTCATTTGTTCAGTCACCAATACAATCCCTTTTCTCTGTCATGTGACTTTAGTTAGCGCCTCCAGGTATCTCTGTTCCAAACTTCTGGTGACTCTGTGTGCCTGGAAACACATGACTAATTGTGAGTCTTGGATGTATTCCCAGAGAGAAATACTCCCTTTTTATCTGTGTCTATTTCTTGCATGCACCTGTGTCCTTGGCTTTCAGGTGGAATAGAGTCCGGTCGCTCTCTTTCTATTCCCGGTGCACCGTGCTCCCCTCGAGCTCCGCGGTCCGGTCGGTGTGAGCGACGTGGCAGGGCGGCTCCGAGTTTAGTTAAACGGGAAGGCGGTGGTTCCGGCAACAAATAAATAAATAACAGTAGCGACGTTCCTGTTTAACTTCCGCGCATATCCCCGATCTCCGGAAAATGAGAGGAGACGGATAGTGCGAGCCCGCTGTGCTTTGTGAGCGCCGAAGCACATAAAAGGCTGACTGACAAACAGCATTTGCTGGAGAAAAAAAAACACTTACCGACAAAATCCCGTCCGGGACCGAAATGGCTCCTTCTTCACGCGAGCAGGCGTACACTTCTCCCGCCCGTATGACTCTGCGTGCTACGCCTGGCCTGCCTCCCTGCAGCCAGCTCTCACACTTGTACTCCCCAAGTCCCAAGAGCTTTCCTGCCCCCTAAACTGTGGGGTCCCTGTGGAGCTCCTCTGTTCCAGTCCGGTAGATTTTCCTCCCCAGATGCCCACCCCACCCTGCTTCAGGGACTCGGGTCCGCAGGTGGCTCCTGGAGATTAGTGAGGATTGGTAAGGATTGGGATGGACTGGCGGTAATCCTGAGCACGCACGGTACACTTTTGCTAGGGGGGGTAAGCAAACAGCAGGGGCACCTCAGCCTCTGCAGTGAGGTCACCTCTGCTCACAGCAACCCCTGGTTCCTTCTCGGGGATTTCCAGAGGCTGAATTCTCCTAACATTTGATCCGAGGCAAGAGGGAAACCGAACAGGTTGTTCTTTACTGCCATATGATGACATTGAAAGTGACAATGACATAATTTATCTTTCTGCTTGGAGGATATTGTTTCAGGGACAGTGCACTGCGGTTACTGGTGCAGGCGAAGGTTGGTAAGAGACATTTATCACTCAAAAGCAAAGACCAATGTCGTGAGAACTTGAGATGATTTAACAAGCGAGGTGTATTTTATAAATACTGTGATGGACTCAGGCGCGCAGTTAGCACCAGGGACGGATGGGATGGGTCCCCTTCGGATTCAGAGTGACCTCGATCCGGCCCCCACTACTTACAGGACAAAAAACAGCATCTGCCGTCTTTGCATAAGGAAAAAATATCCTTGGTCCCCCCCAATTCAAAAATCCTATCTGCGCCACTGGATGGACTGGTATCCCATCCAGGGTGTACCCCAGGCTACGTTACAGTCATGGGACCCTGACCACAATAAGCAGTTACACTGTCAGAAATAGGGTACAGCCCTAGTATAGTTATGTACCACAAAGTACAAATAACATTAATGTACCCTCAACATTTACCTACAACTAGGGTGCAATTGGCGGACCCTATAGTGTACAGACCTAGTGACAAGTAATTGTATCCTCAAAGGTACGAATTGGTACTTTTTTCTGACAGTGTAAAAGACGGATGGATGGACAGATGGATGGATATACATGACAACTTGATAAGTGGTTTGGAGAATACGTTAAACATCCATCCATCCGTCCAGCGATATTCCATCCGCATATGCCGGTCAAGGTCATGTCGCTTTAAAATATATTTTTAAATATTCAATAATTAATATTTCAATATCCGAGCTGGAAATTTTGTTACCACAAATGCAATGGAAACTACATCAACTACTGCATCATATTTTTATTCACAATAAAAAACAGGCAAAAGAGTAAGAAGATTTAATATGATGACATTGCAAAAATCAAGGAAGGGACGCGATTTTCCCTGGGCTCGCAGTAATATATTAAAGTAAATGTAGAATTGTAACACTTGAGCTCCCCCTAGTGGTAATCATGAAAAATTGGCGCATTAGGCTTATGTGGTAGAAGCCGTTTGTAAGCGATTTGATTCACACAGCAGGAAAGTGCTGCACGTGCTGGGCGGCATAGCTAGTAATACTGGTGCCTCACACTTCCACGGTTGGGCGTTTAAATCCCGCCTTCGCTCAGTGTGTGTGGTGTTTGCATATTCACTCCTTGTCACTTGGGTTTCCTTCCGCAGTCCAAAAAGCATATAAATTTCACGGCTTGCGGATGCGTAGGTGTCCCCTAATGGACTGACATCCATTACGCTAAACAGTTTTCCCGCGGTAAAATTTCATTGCGTCATTAGCCATAGCAGTGACGTATTCCGTATGTGGGGTCTGTCTGTCTAACACATTTAAATTTTCATTCGTTAGCATCATATGATGTCTTTATATTATTTTTTAGATTTTAAAAGGTTGCGGATTTAATATAGCTCTGCCCCCACCTAAAACCCTCCACAAGTTCTGTTTTTCCCCCTCACTTGTGCCAACTCGCCCGCCGCAATTCCTTTGCACCCCACCAGGGGGCAAGCCCCATACCTCTAGACATTTAAATACCTCAAAATTTGATGGTGAATACTATTCTTATGCTGTCATGTATTAAAAAGTTCCAGATATGTCCTCAAGGTGTCGTTGCTGCTACACTTTATTGAGCTTGTATATGCTGTTTAGAGTACTGGGGTGATGCTGGACAGTGTTCATTAGTGGCCCGTTTGACAGGACCTCAGCCCCTGACGCACTGGGTTGCCATGGCAGCCAGACAGTAACACAGAGCCGTCACTTTTACGAGACTTCTGTCGTCATCGGGTTCCACGTGAAAGGCCATCTATTTTTGGGGCCCAGCCTGAACAAACTGAAAGCGGCCAAGGAGGGGGCGGGTCCCGGGTGAGGGGGTGGTGGCCATGGGAGATAAATTGGCAAGATGCCCACAGATCTTCCACAGATCCTGCTAGCTCGCTCCCTAGCTAACGTGAACCGTATCATCAGTCTCCAGCTAGTGGGCATGGTTATCGCTCTGGTCAGCCAGCATAGGCAGGACTAAGACGGAAGTGCATTTTGCTCTCAAAGCTGTCATTTGGCATGGTGTATTAGCTTAGCATCTCAGAGATACGGTGGCCGAGGAATTCAGACTGCCGTTTGGTGCCCGGCGGCTTTGTATCATCACCTGACACCACAAACGACAAGACATCCTTCAGACAACTGATCGGACTTATGATTTGACGCATAAATTCAAGAGCACACCTCATATTTCCAGGGTTGCCAGGTATCACACATCTGGCGTAACACTCACGCTTTCAGACTCTCACACTCACGTAAGAAATCTTACGCCAAATCTATATTATGCGATTGTAAACCTTAAAATGAGCTACATCAGAAGCACTGGGGGGGTTTGCAAACCCTACAGACTATTTACAAGGTAATAAAACTGTTACACACAGGTAGATGCGTGTGCATGTGTGTGCAGACTTTGTCTCGAATTGAGCCAAGAGCCAATACACCCCATATATTATGCGACGTGGATTACAGCCAGTGCATAGTCACATAATAAAATAATGGGCTCCAATCGATCCCCCCCCCCCAAAAAAAAAAATAAAAAATTTTGTGACCCTTGGAAATTTTGTAAACACTGGAGACCACTGGGACAAAAATCTAAAGATTTCCAGATAAAGGAAGGTATGTGTGTTTTGATGTGTAAAGGTGAATTTTGCTTTGGTTTAGAGTATAGCTAGGAATCTAAATGTTTAGGGATTTTAATGCATACCTTTGCATTCACTGAGAAGTACATGCATTTATTAGCTTGGTGATGCTAAGAAATATATGTACTGTTAAAAAAAATCTAAAATGAGAGGTTGACGTGGTATTTGAAGTGCTTTTTGTGGCCTGGATGTAGGGCACTGCTTTGTTCGAGGGAACTATGGCGATTTCCAGATTCATGGGGGCAGTTTGCTGTTGGACAGTGATCAGGTAATTAGTAGCAATCAAGTACAAGTACAAAAACTCTCATTGGACAAATGCAAGGAAATAATGTGATTTTTATTTGGAAATAATAACACTCATAAACGTGTTATTTCAATCCAAAACAATTACAACCATTCCGTTCATAATCGATTCATAGCACAAATTCAACCACAATATATTCTATGCTGTGCGTTACCTTACCCATATCAAATGGATGCGTTCTTAGGTGTTAGGGCTACCAACAGTGAGGGTACTACGGGGGAGACACATAAAAAATGCTAATATACCACGACACAAGAGGCATCCCACGTTTCACAGGGTGAAGCTTTTAGACGAGCCGCAAGGCCCCAGTGACTACCGGCCGGGCAAGTCCGCGCGCAATCGACGGCTTGGCGCAGCGAGGGAAGACGGACACAGAGCAGCATCACATTTCGACAGCTTGTACCCCCGAGCGAAGGCCAACGCTCACTGGGATCGCCAGAGCTGTTCAGCAGCATTTGAACATGTTTGGTAGTTCTTACATGTCTTGAACTATTACATACGGGACAACAAAGCAGGCAGAGGCTGTCCACGAAGACGAAAAACGTACTATTCATATCCTCTACTGCCGAAACGGAAAAAAACACAAATAAGGGTATTTATTAAAATACCTAAATCGTTGGTAGGCATATCCATAAGTGAACAGTCACAAATTCTAACCTGAAGCTACGAAATGCATTGCTATCTCGACATCGTTCGAAAATATGGACAGCACATTTTGAGATTTTTAAACCCTTCGTAAAGGCTGTGATTCAGCAGCTACTCAAAATGACATGCGGTGGAAATTTTTGACAAAAATACCATTCATCCAGCTTCTATAGGGTCATGGTTAGTCTGGACAAAGCTGGGGAACCAGTTTTTTTATTGATTTAAATCTCTTTTTTTAGAGTTTCTCTTAAACACTGTGGTCCGATTTCAAGTCCTGTGTCTTATTTCCATGAAGGTTTGAGGGATTTGCTGGAGATGGAGTCTCTGGACTTCTCAGAGAAACTGCTGCTCTTGAGAGGCGTCGGTCTGTCGCCAACCCGGCCGCTGCGGCTGCTGCCCTTTGCGCTCTGAACCCGCCGCAGCGTACCCTGGGGCTTTGACTCTTCCCGAGGGGAGTGCTGAGTGCTCGTTTGGACAGCCTTGGTGGAGGCCTGCTTCTGGGAGCCAGTCTTTGTTAGGGTGGCACTTTTCGAAGGGGTTGAGGGGTTAGAGTCCGGGCCAAGGTCCTTCATGGCCCTCCTTGAGGAGGAAGCCACTGTGTTGCGGGCAAAGCTGGGCAGGGACCCTGGCGTCTTTTGCCCCCCATGGGTGGGTGTGTTTGGGACGTTGCCCTCAGAGGCTGCTTGTGCCTGGGCTAGCGCCCTCATGGTGGACCGGCACATCTTCTCTTCCGGTGGGGGCTTGGGAATGTTCCTCACAGGTTTGGCACTTGGCTTCCTGATGGAGGCCTTGTACATGGGGGAGTCCCGGGCCCAGCGGGGGATCCCCCTGTGACCCTTGGGGTCCTCTGGGGGCATGCTGGAGTTTCGTGGGGTACGGTTGAGCTTTTCGGTCCTCCTGGCAGGCATGCTGTGGTCCCGGTGCTGCCTCCTGATGTCGGCTCCTTCCACAGCTGGGAGCTTCTCTACCTTCCTAGCTGTGCTGCTCACACGGTTGGTCTTGGTGATGGGGACCACTTTGTGCAAAGTCTGATGATCAGGGGTATTCGATGTATGAGCTTCCGGAACCTCTCGTGTGTTGTGTGCAGCAAGGGTTTTGGAGGCAGGCTTAGTTTTCACCTGCATGGGTTTGGATCCATTGGTTGGCGTTGTCTGATTATCCAGTTCTATGCCCTCTACGTTTCTGCAGCTGTCCATTTCTGCACCCTCTATTTCACTCTTAGGCACGTTATCATTGGACTCCGATGCCTCCGGCTCATTGGGCGACATAAGCACCGATTGGTCATTGCTCGACGTGGACTCAATGTTGGACGAATGGGAACTCTGCTCCTTCAAGTTGGCTTGACTGTCACTGTTCAGCATTTTGGAGTCGAAGCTGACGCCATCCCGCGTGACGGACGAGCTATCCGTTTCTGAGTAGTCCAGTATCATAGAACAGTCGGTGTCTGTACAGTCCAAAATGTAAAAAACAGGCTTTTTGCCCGATAGTGATAAATCCAAAGGCAGAGGCATATCACACGTTGTTGAGGAAATCATGCTACTGTCTTCCTCGTCACGCAAAGGGGATAAAGTAAACTGAGGAGAGTCCATCTTACAGTCCCATTCTGTTCTCGAATCTGGCTCAGTCTCAGAATCCTTACTGGAAGGAGGAGTGTCCAGGACAAGGCTTTTTGGAGGACCCAGTTCCCTCTCCAGATCAGTGATTACAAGATCTCCCTGATCTGCTAAGTGCATATTATTGTTGTTAGGACTTCCAAGAACCAAAGGTGGTGGTCCAGGAACTAAGGTGCGTTTCTCTATGTTGACATTGAGCTGTCCGGTACCTACACTAGACGACCTGCAGAGGTGATTTTTGTTGTGATCAATTCTGGGCACCACCTCACCTTCAGAGAGGGCAGTTTTGTTGTCGAGAAACCTATCCTCATCGATGTCAAAGCCAGTGGAGAACCCGGCCAAGGAGTTGAGAGGGTCCCTGTCTGATCGTGGGGAGGTCACCTGCGTCCCAAGGGAGGGTTGGCCAGTCGAGCCCGATTTGCAGGTTCTATCCTGTTCAGCAAGCCAGGCGACGGTCCTCCTTTGGTGCGGGCGGCTGGGGCGTGGTAGGCTGTTAAAATGCGGCACATCACCGGCGGAGAACAGCTCGAGGTAACTGTGCAGTTCACGGTCGGCGGCGGCAGCCATGGTGTGGCGGTAACGGCGGACGCTAGAGGAGCGGCCAAGCGGACTGCGGGGGCTCTGCGAGCGTGGCTGCAAGAAGTCCAGGAGCCCCTCCTTGCTCAGCGTGTCCACGTCATTCTCACTACTGCTACGGCCAAAGCCACCACCACGTTCCCAGCTGGACAACAGGAAGCGCTTCTCCTCCAGCTCACGCAGCCGCTGCTGCCGCGCCACCTCCTTTAGCTTGCGGTCATGGTTATCCTGCCCAGGGGAGGAAAGGGTGGGGGAGCACATAAATTAATCTGTAGTTCATCCCCAAACAACACAGTCCTCCTGGCAGCCTACAAACATTATGAAAATAAACTGTTTTCTTTAAGGAATTCCAACATTTTAATTTTTATGATTCGCCATCCCACAATGCACAGCACCTGTCATTTAACCTTAATCATACCAGACAGAGGATTTTAAATGCTGATTTATAGCTGGCATCATAGTAGTCTCTTTGGTCAATATTTTCTAAAGTCCATCAGAATCAGGGGCATACACGGGTGCGGCCACAGGGCGCCAGCTGAAAGCTGATTGGTCACTGGAGCGCCCCCTCTACTTTCACTCACTGATTCAAAACATATTATTGGCTAATGATAAGGCCGGCCCTTCAGAATGTATTATGGCCCCTCTCATGCTCCTCACCTTAAAAAATCCTAGAATCACCACCGAACAAGTTAAAAAGTTAACTGCTGTCACAATGCTAAAATGCATCGAAGGACCTAACACTCCATACCTTGACTGCCTTTTTAAATTTCAGACAGAAGTCTTGGAATATCCTGAAGCAGTCATCCAGCTTGAACGTGTCTTTGTCTTCACAGAAGAAATCAATGAGTGTGTTTCCCTCCTTGCGCAAATCCAGCCTGCGCCTTGTCAGCTCTTGCAGGGTCCGTGTGGAGTTCTGGGTGGGGGGGGGGGTTAGGGGGGTTGTGATGTCAGAAAGGCACTCGAACCCAGGTCCCCGAGGTGCGAGGCAACAGTGCTAACTGCTGCTCCACTACGCCACTACAGATTATACTCGGTAATTTAATAAAAATTAGTGTCTCCCACCTGCAGGAAGTCCTCTAGCTGCTGAAGCAGCTCTTCATCCCTCTGGATCTTCTCCTCAACCGACCTTATCCTAAAGTACAGGGACTGCAGCTCTGTCTCGATGTTCTCCACGGATATTCTGTGGAGAGGACCATGGCGTTAAACTTTGAGGTGATACTAGCAGGGAGGAAAAACAAACAGAAAGAATGACATCTTCCACAGGAAGTGCAATTAACTGCCTGGACGGTATCAGGATGCCCTTGGAAACACCTGCTCCACCGACACACCCTTGCAGCAGGGACAGCTCTGCACTGCCCTGTAGGGTGTCATCTGGTGCTTCACAATGCAGTTCTAAAGCACTTCTGCGCCGCCGGGCACAAGATGGATGCAGGTGCCGTTCCTGCCTACAGCTGCGCAGCGTGTCTTACCTGACTGCGCTCTGCACGTGCTGCAGGTTCTCGGGGAACTTCAATAGGCCTTCATCCTTCTTCTGGGCTTCCTGTGCAGGGGAGAGAGACGCCATGAACTTCAACCTCGACCAGGAGTGTATTAAGGGGCGGAGCCACAGAGGCACTGGCCCTAGCTGAACGCTGATTGGCTCCCGGAGTTCCCCCACCCGTCACTCACTGAATCAAAACTTATCATTGGCTACTGATACTGGTTGGCCTCTCTGTATGAATTATGGCCAGCTTATACGTCTCACCTTAAATAAATCCTAGAATCACCCCTGACTGCAACAACCATTACTCAGGATATTCACGTTTAGTTTTACAGACTCCGGAGAATTATACTAATGGGAAACACTAGTATGAAACTCACAGTGGTCAGTATTATACTGCTCTGTCAATTAGCTGACTTACCAGATTTCCTGTTGCTTATATGAATATCTACTGGGTTAAAACCAACAGAAACTAGCATTTCATGCTTAATCCTGTTCACCGTAAGCTTCAAAGCCTAATTTGTACTAAGGTCTCTGGGTGTGGGACATTGTATTAAAGCTGCCCTGTGTCTCTCTACCCTAGTGACACCCCCTCCCACACACACTCACCAGAGCCACGAAATGTAGCAGGTTCATCCCTGGCTTGTTGGCCTTGGTGTCCGCTAGCGAAAGCAGTGAGGACAGCTTGAAGCCCACGGCGTTTCCAGCGTAGCCTCCCTGTTCCCACACAAGCATACCATTAGCGGTTAGCATCATTCAGGGCGGCTCGTTACAGCAGCCTGGCCTGCACTGGCATTACAGCAGCCTGCACTGGCACTTACAGCAGCCTGCACTGGCATTACAGCAGCCTGCACTGGCATTACAGCAGCCTGCACTGGCACTTACAGCAGCCTGCACTGGCATTACAGCAGCCTGCACTGGCATTACAGCAGCCTGCACTGGCATTACAGCAGCCTGCACTGGCACTTACAGCAGCCTGCACTGGCATTACAGCAGCCTGCACTGGCATTACAGCAGCCTGCA